TGTAAAATCAGGAATATATGGTTTCAGATGGATCTAGAGATCATAATCCTAACTAAAACAGGCCTATTCCATGACATTTCAGATGACGAAGTGACCTTGCAAGGCATGACACTCTTCCTAAGTTATAGGGTACCAGAAGCAGAGTGTCCATATATATTATAAACAGACACTTAGGAGTCGAGTGCCTATACGACACCTAACTAACTGAGGTGTTTTTTCACGCATATGGCAGAAAGTACTTGATGGGAGTGATCTACTGACCTCCCTCGTGTATTAAGGCCCAGAAAAACGAACTGACTGAGGCCTTACTGCCAGTGTGACTTCTTGAGTTCGATCAAACTCTCTAAATCGCAGCTATTGGGGTACAACTTCAACTGATTTGTTCTAAAGAATACTTTGTGCAGCCATTAGAAGCTCTGGGCTTGTTGATCAGATGGACTAAGGAAGTAAATTCATCCAACCTGGATTTTTTCCTAACAAATGTTTAGCTCCTGGTCGAGGATCTTCAAGTTCATACGCCATGGCAGGATCTTGTTTTACATGGTCATAAACTAAACACTCACACAAAACAAAAACGAGCCCTATCCTTGCTACATTTGAGAAAATTTTACGCGTATAAGAGAGATCCTCCTAAATGTCCCATGGACACAAGTGTGGTGGGGGCTGACGCTAGATGATCACTGGCAAACGTTGAGAGACATCATCTCGAATGCTGACGTAGACAATGTACCTCAGTCACACTACACGCCTAAAAATATAAGAAAATGGGTGAGGCGCGCTAGTGAATGCATACTCCAGGAGGAGAGGTGAGCCTAGCACAAGTGAAAGGTCTTTCTGAAGGTTTCTGATCGTAGTTCTTACTTGGCATTGAGAAACAGATGCAATTCCAAAGTTCGAAGTGGTAATAGACGATTACATATGAAGCTAGCTGCCAAGAAACAGGTAACGTTGAAGCTTCTGTTTACGTTCATGACTAGAAAAGAAACCTACGAATCAGGGTTTGTGTTCTCTCAGTGGTCCGACTGGGGAAGACTGCACCAACCCGGACAAAGCTGTGATATTCAGAACAAACTTCACTGAGCAGTTTACCTAGGCAACCACATGTTCACAGTGTTCCCAGTGCCAGCTGACGGCTTATGGAATATCCGTATTACTCCTGACTTATCACCACAGTCTTGAAACAATGTGCAGAAGTCCTGTGTTCACCAATATGTGACCCGTTTAGGCATTCACTGGAGTCACACCAACTGTCAGCTCATTGTAAACAAGCTACTCACTCCAATCTTCAAACGAGAAGATAGAAAGCACCCAGCCTATTACAGACCAGTTGCATCACTATCAATACAATGAAAGGTAATGGAAGGACTGGTAAATAAACAGATGATGGATTACATGGATAAGAATAAAGTACTTCATTTAGCTAATCACAGGTTTCGGAAATGCAGATCGTGCGCATCTAGTCTTTTCATAGCATGGCACAGTTGAACATCCTGCTAGGACCGAAAAATACCGATGCGCGCAATATGTCTCGACTTAGCAAAAGCCTTTTAGATGGAATGCAAAGCACACTTAATTGCTAACGTCGCGGAAATAGCCTTCACTGACTCACTCGTATCTTGGCTCAGAAACTAACTTGAGAATACAAAGCTTCTAACAAAGGTGAATGAAGTGCAGTTGCGCTGGCAAGCATTCACATCAGGAGTTTCACAGGAGATCATCTTAGTTCCACTCCTCTTCCTGATATTTATTAACCACCTGTTAGGATCATTTAGCTCACCGACGGTGTGAAGATCTGGAATTCCACTTGAGGCAAAGAGGATTTGACCGAGCTTCAAGAGGACCTTACATCTATTGAGCAATGAGCGGTGCAAAGCAGTTTAAAACAACCAACTGAAGTGTCACATCATGTATATTCTGTCCCTTATGACGTGGAAGATTTAAACCATCAATAGAAGTCCGGTCCCTCAGTGCGCGATCTCGGTTTAAAAATCACAGAAAGCCTCCTCACCAGCCCAAACAATATAGGGGACTCAGTCAAGGCAAATGTGACTCTTCATATTATGCGAAGACAGCTTGACGCTTTCACTCGACGATCGACGTTAACGTTTAGACATACGTGAGCCCACACCTGGATGTTCGCAACGTTATCGCATCGCCCCTGCTCAATAATAATAATAACATATTTATTCTCAAATAACTGCGTTATAAGCGTCACGCCAGCTTGCAGGCTAGATCAAATTGTCACAAATGCTTTCAGATTTACTGTAAAAGTTATAGCAGTAAAATTAAGTATAAAAGTCAGTTTCTGATAGCATATTTACACCATGTCACTGACAGAAACAGTATAATACAGCCTAATTTTCAATAGTAGAGTACAAATAAGGAACGTGCACAATAGGTTCCTTTGGCGATTTGCCGAGATCAGTAGTGAATTTGAAACGAGCTGTGATCCAGACAGTCATGTACGTAGGGTGCACGTTCCCTGAAGGCGCCAAGGATTTCCCACCGTGAATGGGGTACTGAAAAGCGATAAAAAAAGGAGAGCAAAAGGCAGCAGTGTGGTAAGTGTATATTATAAACAAAGCACCACCTAACCTGTCATGTTGAGGTAATCAATACAGTGGTAAGTCAAGATAAAATTTATACCGATCACTTAAAATAAAGTAAATTATGGGAATATCAAAATATTACACACAGATGAAAAAGTATGGAAAAAAAGAAGTAAGTGTTCTCGAGTTTCAGTGGAAAGAAGAGTAGCTGGAACATAAAGATTGATTTATGCAAGTTGAAGTCGAAATTTCACGTGAAAGAGTAGAGTTTGTAAAAAGAAAACATTGATGGTTAAAAGTTCTCACTGTTTTTTATTGTTATTATTATTATATGCCAAACTCTAAGTCATACGGTAAGCGCCTGAATAAGAATGTTGCGGGTGTCTCGACAGAAAAGCGACCTCAGCATAGTTTTGGAAACATGAAATTCAGTAGTAGCAAGCCTATAAGAGCAACGTCAGTGTTACTAATTTGTCGCCTCATCAATCTAAAGAGCCGAAATCAAACAAAATGTTCTGCACCACAAACATGGGTGGTTTGAAGTCATCGCTCACACCATCAATGTTCGCAGGTCAGTAACTCCACCCTCCATTCTTTAATGCAGACATCAATCTCTTGGATCCAGTTCAGAGACGAACAACAGAATGGGTGATAGGGTTGATGTAGAAACCTCACGAAGATAGACTCCACTACTTGGGATTATTACCTTCGAATTACAGGAAAATCAGACGTGAACTGATTATGGCGTACAACCTTCTAAGCACGAGAAACCACCTCACCGATGCATTACCACCTAAGTTCTAAGGAGAATCCTCGAAAGATTGCGCATCAAAGAGCCAACACTGAGGTTGGTGCAAACCTCTTCTCGTTAGGAGTCGTCACTAATCGGAATGTATACCTAGCACAGGTGACAACAGCACTGCTCAGTGGACAGACCTAAAAATAGACATGATAATCACGTACTCAAAACGGATTATCATCCACCTCATGGACAAACTGTACCTGATGCAATTTTCTAAATTACTGAGTCTTAATATAGAAATATTTGACCCACGAAAACATCGATATTGTGTTCAAATGACACTGCATAGTGTAATTAGGATTGTGTGATGATGAGTAAACGTGAAACGGCCTAATATCATTTTAATAATTATGAATATTCCATTATATCACAATGAGTAGAAATTAGTATTTCGGATGATTCGTGAATTCATAGGCGATTCGTGATAGACTGGCGACAAATATTTGGGCCTTATTATTGATGAATGAAGAATAATCATGTAGCCGGAGAAGAAAAAACTGGCTAATTTATTCGTATACTCAAATGGATAAATGTATCAAATTC